AAAGCTTCTTATAGTGCGCTATCTTGCGATTATTCAGTATTAATTGTTGACTGTTTATTATTTTCAATGAAAAATAGCTTGTGAATTACAAATTAACAGCACATATAGTTCACTCGGTCTTTTCCACCATGGCATGCTTCCCTTCAAGCATTAACTATGCTTCAAGATATCGGCTTGAATGCGCAATGAATGTTGTTATTGGAAATATAATATCCCTTACAATAAGCGGCAGACTGTTTCATTATGGCGCGTGAAATTCATCACGCGAAAAACGCGTTCGACTTGCAGGAGGGTAATTTGACGAAATTTTGCTATGTTTGTTAGCTAAAAACATTAACAAGAGAACAAAGTTTCCTGCGTTAATTTGGAAACCGTACATTTATTTGTAGATAACATTTAATGACGCGATTAACATTCGTTTGATGCCGATCATCGTAATATAGCCGCATAAAATAATGAAACGAAGCCTAAATGTAAACTTTCCGAATTTATTCAATAAACAATGATATTATGTGTGAATGATTATCGCAATTCTGCGTCCTCTCAGTCACGAAATATACTGCTGCAGAGCCTCTGAATAAAAAGTATCATTTTTTGTGTTGTTTTTCGAAATATACATCACGTGATCATTGCCATGACAACGAAAAGTAGGTCAACTTTTAAAATCTCCTTTGATAAATCATATAAAACTTGAATGGTTATAATCAAGGCCATACTTATTTTTTTATGATTTTTTTGTTTATTTTTGCTAAATACACAAACTGAGACCCAGGCATTAATGTACCAGAGAACTCAAGAAATACCAAACATATTCATACGAAATTTTTTTAATGCATTTCCCATCGGAACAACTTTTTTTGAATTGGTTGTATATAATCTTCAATACCACAACAATACCTGAACTGTGACCACATCACTACCCCCAAGGAGCCAGAAATTTTGAGCATATGTTCTCTATATTTTCAACAATGGAGAGATACCCACACCTCATGGGAGGCCTCATAATTGAACTGCGACTTGTTTTCAACCTCGATGCTATTGACTATGTCCTCGATAATTGGTTGTTTCCCCAAAAATTTCCACATGAATATCACATACAAGACCATAAGTGTTCCAGAGTATTTGACCTTTGCAAGAAATACTGTCTGCACAGCGAGACAACTACTAACAGGAGCTGGCGTAATGCGACATCATGTTGACAGGGAGCAGCATGATCGCGAAAAGAGGATCTTTGGTGACCTGAAGTGGTCACTTGCATACAGAAATGCCGGCTACCACACCGAAGCAAGATTTCAACATAACACTTGGTGGCTCAATTGACGTCCCCCCAGCACCTGTCCCTAACCCACCACCACAAGAACCGATGGTGATCATTGATGGTGATCACTGATGATGATAGACATCACAAGAACAGCCTCATGTATAGCCCCACCACCAGACAATGTCAATGATGCCTTGGTAATCCTGGCGAGGAACAACAGGTCTGCAACAGGCCAACATTTTAACTGGATAGAAGTACACATGTTGTCAGTGAGGTACCCAGAGCTAAATTCTACATCTCACCAATTACAAAATAGAGTTAGAAACCTGCAGAGAAGAAACCTAAACTTACTCTACTAAGTCTTATAATAAATGTAAATAGTTAAGTCGTTGTAAGTTCATTGTACAACAATAAATTCACATTGAAGAGAACAAGTGTTTAACTATGGTCTAAGTAGAGCCAGGATAACTATAGAAAACACCTTTGTTAGGTGGAAAGGATGTTTTATTGAATTTATGAAATGTGTTGATATGGAGGTACCTGCAATTGGTCAATGTTGTTTTAGTCTTTTTTTATTCTGCAAAACATTTGCAAGATTCAAAACAACGATTTTTTGCTGCAGTGGGAAGAACCAGAATGAGCCAATGATGCAGGGCAATTGATAAAACTAGAATAGTGAAGCGAATAGTGCGAATAGTCGACGAATAGTACGAATAGTCTGCGAATAAACGACTAATAGTGCGAATAGTCCGCGAATAGTCGACGAATAGTACGAATAGTGCAATAGAGACTTTGCAAGGCTTTCCACCGTGCTGCAGAACTAAATTTACCGGGGCGAGGGGGGAGGCTCTATTGACAAACATGAAATCGTGAAAACATTCGTTGATGTCAATGACGTCATACGTAATCGGTAAAAATTACGGGACCACTGAGTTTTAACAAATATTTAACAGGAAGTAGAATGACAATCACTAGAATGACGTTTCCCACTGGGCGAATTTGTTCGCGCGAAGCAACAAGTAATTAGTAAAAGGGTGGGATGATCCAACTTTTTCGCGGCGAATTTTTTCGCTGACCAATCACATTGCCAAAATTTGGTTTTCGCTTCGCGCGAACAAATTCGCCCAAAAACGGGCTTAAATAATAAATCGATACCTTCTCTTGTTTCGTGATGTAAATCACGTTTTCCAAGCACACGAAATCACTTAAGCCCTTAAATCTTCAGTTACAACGTCACAACTTACAAGTAAAATTCCTATAAATTCCATCAGTAAAATTCATGACTCATATGGTTACCACTTACCATCAGGAATGATTATAAATTTAAAAAATATGAAATATATTTCCTGACGGTGACTGCATTTTAATCGAAAGCTACAATATTAAAATGTTTATTTTCGAAGTTACCATTGTTTTATATTTTATTAAAATACTGAGAGGTTCCCGTAATTTTTACCGGTTACGTATGACGTCATCGACGTACGTCAACGAATGTTTTCACGATTTCATGTTTGTCAATAAAGCCCCCCCCCCCGGTAAATTTAGTTCTACAGCACTGCTGCAAAGCCTTGCAAAGTCTCTATTGCACTATTCGTCGCCTATTCGCGGACTATTCGCGGACTATTCGTCGACTATTCGCGGACTATTCGTACTATTCGTCGACTATTCGCACTATTCGCTTCACTATTCTAGTTTTATCAATTGCCAATGATGCAGTTGTGGAGATTGACAATATGTTCATTGACATTGTAGACGCTGGTGTGCACAATATTCTTGAACCATTAGCATGTCACTTTAGCTAGGAAGAACTGATATCCAGCTTGAGAACAATAATTCATACAATGATAATTGATATAAATAATATATTGGTTGACATTAACAATTTAAATTTAAACTGTTTGCAAAAAAGTTCTAAAAAGAAAAATCCTTTAAAGAACAAATTATAGTTTGTTAACCTAGCATACAGTATATTGCTAATTGTACATAACCCAGAATGGGTAAAGAACAGCAAATATGAAGATGTTACTTAAATCGTTAATTTTAACACTGTGCAAATGTTGTACATCTACAAATCAACATAGGTTTTGTCTCTGTCCAAGTTCTGCTGTAACACCTTGAGCATCACATATGTAGTTGGTCCTATACTGGCCTGTTGCTGAACATTGGCAAATGGTTGGTCCCAAAAAGTGGATGCCAGGCTGCTTAAATATTGACCTGACTGGTTTATGTTTCCAATCATACCAAAAATGTTTAACTTGTGTTCCCTTTTCTCTTTTCTTCTTTCATTCTCTCCAGTCTTGCTTGTTCCATATAGAATTGGTGCTCTTTATCCAATCTTGTCTGTTCAGTTCTTTTATCTAGAAGATATTAATTAGCAAAATACAATTGATCTGTTTAAAAGCCACAGTTAAATTGACATCTGCTTGTGGACAACCTGTTTTTAAAGTTGGAACTTATTCATAGTAGAGAGCCATACAATTGTACAGGCAATTAGAAACAAATAAGGCATGCAATAGTACCACAACTTTATGAAAATTATTGAAAGATATAAAGTTCATTAAAAAATTAACATTTAACTTCAAAATGAAATAACAGTTTGCTGATTTTAAATTTAAAATAAATTATGCATGTCTGAATGCACATTTGAAATCATTTCTAAACAACATTTTTGTTGGAATATCACAAATAAGCCATGTCTATTCTGCAAACCTTGTAGTGCACACAGGTTTAAAGAGTCAAACAACCATCATCCTGTTTGATCATCCTGATATACTGTGTGCTGTGTGCAATCAATCGTGTTGGATGTGTACGTATTCTGAAGCTCCGCATATTTCACTTATACTTGTGTTAGTTTAAGCCTAGTCTTTACTTATATAAATGCCACCTAAAAAGAAATCGAATGATACTACGAAGGCCGATGGAAAAGTCGAAGAGAAGATTGAAGCGAAAACTGTTAACAAAAAAGATAACTGTTAATGAAGTAGGTGAAGATAAGTCTCATTCACAAGCTACATGTGCTAATCGTTTCAGCATAGAGGTGCTTCTTGATCAACGGTTACAGCAACCAGGGCGCTGTAAAACACAGGCGGGGAAATGCGCTGATCCATGTGTGATGCGGCTGGGGAATGGTGTGAGCGTGCGTCTTGCAAAAAATCAAGAAAAGTGAAAATGGCAGCGAAACGGAAATTTTTGTAAGAGCTGGATGTTCAAAGTAATAATAAAGGTATGTTTAAACTTGAACCTGGATATTTAGTGTAACTGACTGTAACATTAATAGAAAAGCTATTATACTTCAATTTTACTTTATAAAAATTGACAAAAAATGCACTGCATTTTAATAAATGAATGTTGTTAATCAATGTTTTGATTTTTATTTCTTTTAAAATCTAGTATTTTTATGCGCTTATACTAGATTTTAGATTAAATTTTGAAGTCCATAGATTATGCTACAATCCTTCACAAAATATATTGAGACTTGCATATTTATCTATAAAATCAGCAAATTCCTACCATCAGGAGCTCGTCCTTCCCCCCCCCCCCTCCCCCTTCAAAACAATGTTGACTGTTATTCCAAGCATTGTGCTTCACAATTTCAACTCAATCACGAGTAACATTGCTCTGTAGGGGGGAGGGGAGAGGAAATTATACTTTCACATGGGTAGTCTCATAATTTTTGTGAAGGATTGCAGATAAATTTGATGGTGCAAAAAGTAGCCAAAATTATAATACTTTGCACTACTTAAGGAGTGGTCATTATTTATGGGGAGGGGGGGTTGGGAAATGGGGAAAATAAGGATTGAAAACTTTTTTGACCCCCCCCTCCAGACTGAAGGCAAACTTTTTGTGCCTCCCCCCTCATAAAAGTAGAAACTTTTCTGACCCCCCCCCCCCCCAGTGTGGATTGAAAAATTAACAGCAATGAAACAGGTGTGCGTTGCAGGTAAAGTTAGATATTAGGACAATCTGTTTAATCTAGCTCATGATGTTTTACCCTGGTGAATATGATTCAACCATATATGATTAAAAAATATATGTTATGTGTTACTACTTTGCAATGCAACATTTGTCCTACCATAACCCTAACGCATGACCCGTCTTCATACAGCGAAATGATTTGAACACAGGGTTTTTTTAAGAACTTGTCTGGGGGGTGGGCATCTACAAAAAGGGACCATACTATATTGAGTGTGGAGAGATGACAGATGGTTGTTGGTGACAAAAAGTTTGGTGTGGTATCGTATGTACTAGTAGGGTGGTCTGGGGGTATTCTCCCTCAGAAAATATTTTGTATTTTTCCACCCCTAGAACTGAAATGTGAGCATTTTCTGAAACAGATTTTTGGATATACAGCGTTACATTGATAGACTGAATCTGATCATTTAAGTGTACTTGCATGGTATGTTTATGTAAATACCACACTGACTGGGTCACTCAGGGGGTAGAAAGCTTGTTAAACTTATTGGGCCCGACTCCCACGATCGCGAGGCGCTACCATGGTTGGCGACGAGCAGGGAAATTTTGGAAATTTTGAGTCTCTAGATCGTTGGAAATAGCATTTTCAGAGTCTTCTTTTTTGCTATTTGTGATTACCCCGGCGAAAATTTGATGAATTATTCATGAAAAATTCATGAATTTTGTTCATGAACTTCTATCAAAAGTACATGAACTCTTCATGAATGTGCATGAACATTAAATGGCACAGTTCGTGAAAGTAACAGTTCATGAATAATAAGTTCATGAACTTTTTTGTTGATGAACAGTTCATGAACTAATGTTCATGCATTTTTGAAGAGCAAATCATTGAGCTATATTCATGAACTGTTCATGAATTTTCTCATGAACATTAAATGGCACAGTTCATGAAAATTGCTGTTCATGAATACTTCATGATCTTGTAATCATGAACATTTCATGAATCATTCACGAATAATTCATGAATAATTCATGGTTAGCGTTTCATGAATTCCTCATGAATTTTCATGAAGTGCTTCATGAACACTTCACGGCACAGTTCATGATCAATATGCATGAAATGTTCATGAACTGATTTATATTTCTAAACTATTGGAAACCATATTATAACATACAGTAGTTCATAATCTTTACTCTATGAGAATGGGTCTGTCAATTATGAAATCGTATAATTATAATATACGAACCATGCGCTTATGAATCGCTTATGAAAAAGCTGATGAAATTATTCACCAACATTTTATGAATTTTAACTAGTCTTTAATAATCCAGCTAGACTTCAAATTTTACCTATACTGTATACAGTTAAACTATTACAAGGTTGTCTTTACTATATGCATGTTCATATATGTGCAGTTCAGTATGACATACAAACTTAAAAATAACTTCAATCTTCATGCACGCATTTCTTACTAAAACTTACTGTCGAAACAGCTGAAATAACAAATTAAGTCTTCCGACCAGTCATGCCGCATTTCACCACAGGGCAGACTCGCAAACAAGGCATCAAATGGCATGAACCTCATCATACATCCATTAACAAAGTGGCGTATTCGCGTATAGAATATAGTAGGAGTTTATTTAGGCATTTCTTGGTCGAATGTGTGCTCGTAATAATCTATATAACCTAGTGTACATCATGAATGCTAAGAAATGAAATACGTTTCACTATTACAAGTCTTCTTAATTCAAATTATAATAATTCCTCATTCAAATAAATTGATGGCAAAATCATGTACGACTATGCCTATATATAAATTTAATCGATTTCAAAACTCGATTTCTTATATATACAGTCCATCACAGTATTATCACTTCGACTCTGTCTCCGTACAATATTTGCACCATGCGGTTGCGCTGTCATACCATAGAAAACTTAGCTACTGGAAGATCAATACTGCATGGGAAATTAAATGTTGAGGAGACACCTATAGTTCCGATTTATTGAAACGTTTTGGGCATATTGATTTAAAAATGGCCGTATTAAAAACGGTGATCCGATATACTATTAAAACTTACTTGATTGCGCATAATTTGCGCTATACTAATTGCTGGAATTTCGCTGACGTAGCTATACCCCTGCTGGTAGTTTCACCAACATTGTATTCTTGAAATGCATATCCAAGCCAACAAACGCCAGTAAACCCAGCAAGAACAACGAAGAACATAATAAAACTGAAGTGCTGCGTTATATAAGCATGCACGCAAATTTGTCTAGTTCCCACACTAAATGTGAAGTGTATTTGTATGTAGCTCGAGGCTTGGCCGTCAGCCTGTCTACAAGGCCAAGATGCGCAAACCTGATTAGATATCAGATAAAATTGGCAGAAAAGACATTTAGAGTTTGATTCATGTAGAAATGAATAATATAAAAGCATAGACCTTAAAGACAGCTTTTTCCATATATTGACTTTAACTATAACCACGCTGATCAACTAATGTTTCAGAAATTGCACTTTTCCAAACGTCACTCAATTTGAAATGACAAATTTATAAACTACAGACTACAGTTGTGAATAGTATATAATTCTTTACAGACTCGTAATATACGATCGTAAAGTTAATATCATTAAACATGCATCGACATTCATTAAATTAATACATTTTATGAGTTATTTATGATGTATTATAATCCACTAAAACTATTCATGAATAGTTCATGGTAGTTCACAAAGCGAAATCATGAACGTTCATGAATCAGTACAAATTCATCAAAATTTCATGATATGCTCACCAAGTAAATTCTATGAATTTTTCATGAATAATCAGTTCATGAAATATTCAAATGAACATTCATGAACATTCATGAACTATTCTGTTCAAAACAAAAAGTTCATGAACTGCTGATTGGCCATCCATCAACTGTTCATGAACAGTTCATGAAGAGCATTTAAGAACACTTCATGAACACTTGTTCATGAACCGTAGGTAAAATATTTGATGAACGGAGCATGAACAAATTTTCGCCAGGGTATAATAGAAATCAGAACTCTAGACATGGTATTTAAGTTCAAAAACTTTTATGACCCCCCCCCTTTTCTTTGTTTTTACCTTTCTCTGTTTTTGACC